TATAAGTATCCCATCACTATCTTTATCCAGTATTCATATTATTTAATGTGTTTTTTTTTCTTTTTTAATTCAGTATAGTTAAAACACCATTTAATTTTGTTACTTTGAGACTCTTGTGGCAAGTAATAGTAATTCAAAGTTGAGAGTTTATCTTGGTTTTTTAAGCTATTACAATTAAGCTACTACATTCAATTTAATATTTAAAAAATTTTTTTTTTAAAAATCGTTATAGATTTAATATTTGCATTACAACTGTGTTATTTACAAAAATTGCTTCACAAAATTAAATGGTGATATAGTAACAGCAAGTTTGTTACTTAGAATAGTCAGAGCTGTAAATTATTAATACTAAAAGTAATTCAAAGTAGATAGTTAATCTTTGTTTTTGTGCTATTAAGGTATACATTCAATTCAGTACTAGAAAAAAAGTATTTCATCATGTATGTTGCATTACAAGCTATTTAACAGTATAAAGCTTCCAAGACACCTTTTTCTATGTATATGTATTCCGAAAGGGCTTCCAGAAATGTCACACATCAATGTGGGTCATACACCTCACATTTAGAATACATATGCACAGTTAGCTTTTCTTACAAAGTATGAAGTTTTATATGCCTTCTTTTATTGCCCATATTATATATATATTATAGACTATAACCAACTATAGCAGAGTGTTTCACTCTATCCATTCAGTGCTAGCTGTGCTTTTACACTTAATGGAAAAATTCTTCTATTTTTTATTGCTTTGTTATAGGCTTTATTTTGCACATATTCCTTGTATGCCAATTTACTTTGCAAATATGTGGATTATCATAAGTCATGGTTATTCATGTTAATTTTTTAGTTATAATCAGGGCTGAAGTTGTTTTATGGTTCTTTTTGTTTCCATTATTCAATGAATAAACAATTGCGTTAGTTTAGTTAGCGTTTATTGTGTTAATTAGCTCTACTTAATCCGATTATGCAATGTTTGCTTAGTTCAATGCTTATTAATTATTTAGTTTTTTTTTTTTTTAATTAATACTGTCTTCTGAAAATTTAGTTTGGTTTTTATTTTTTTACTTATTGTTACTAATCTTTTGTAATGCTAATCATAACTAATTAACCTTACAAAGTTGAAACTATTGAAACATTAAAAATAGGCAAAGAATAATTATGAGTATAAGCAAGGGTAGTATTAATTTTTTGGACCATTGCAAAAATTATGAAAATGTTATTCCTTTATGGGTTTTCTCTCTTAGAAGTGTAGAAAAAAATAAGTTCTATAAAAATCACGTTAAAATTAGCTTTTTTTTTACTACATGAGATTAAAAATCAAGTAGAACACAATAAATAATGAGTTAATAATGTAGTCAAGGTAAACAGAGGGTTGTTTTTGGTACTATAACAAAAACTATCATCAGTCTTTTTCTTTTTTGGCACTGATAACAGCACTTATTATAAATAATTATATCTTATTACTGGCAACAGTTAACTTATTGAATTTGTAGTTCTATTGAACTGTATATAAATTTTACTAAAAACAAAAATGTCTTCCAGAATGCTGTGGTAACTTGCATTAAAAATGAATTATTTTTAAGTAATATACATTTAACGTTACTCAAAAATATCTGTGGCAAAGTTAATGTATCCCATTTTTAGCATAACTTATTTTTCGCTTGTTCTTTTTCCCAATCTCCGGTATAAATGCTTAAGTTTTCTAACAACTTCAGCACTGATTAAACGCTCATAAAACTCTGAAAGGTGTTCCCTATGTGAAATGCATTTACCATTTGTTAATAAGCCCGTTATTGAATGTATTTAATACTGTTAAAGTATCACTATTATATTAAAATTTCTTAAGAAATACCTTTATCTTATGTTACTGGAAAATATTGTCTTTACAATCATGCTTGAATTATGAGTCACGTTCTTTCTGAAATGAAAGAAACTTTTTAATTTTAAAGTGTTCATTTAATTGTCCTATATAATTCGGAAATTTTTGAATATATGTACTTGTTTAAAAGTACTATTGTCTGATGAAACTTGGTGTAAATTGCCCGTTGGTTAATTTGATTTCGAAGATAAAAATTTGTTTGCTCTAAGTATATTTGCACTTTATCCATTTTGCATCAGGTGAAAAAAAAATTGTTCAAAATAAATATTCCTATTTTTATACCCAAATGTGTTATGTTTTATTTTTTGTTTCATATGTAAATTTAACAGGAATGATATGGACACAGGTATCAGACAAGGCTATTCAAAATTGTATTTATTCAACCATTTCACAAAGGTGGTGGTATAATATCAGAATCTGACAATATCCGGAGCACTCCGTTCTTTATAGCTAAGATTATTTAGGGAAAAGTCTTGCAAGTTTTCCACATTATGTCTTAAGGTCTGGTTTCTTAGGACAAGCGCCTTAACTGGGCGTCAGCGGAAAGTTGACGTAGATCTGACGCCAAAAAAATACTTTTTTGTCAGACATTATCTCTCATTGCGCATGCTTTAATAACGTAAACAAATATTTATTTTGAATTTGTATTGATTTTGTTATTGTCGACCAGTGTTTTAGAGAACAAATAATGACTTTGTCCAAGAAAAAACACATTATAGCTGAGCTAAATGAAGAGTGCTATGTTTAATGAAGAAGCTATGTTTAATGTCAAAATCAAAATNGAACTAAACGCTGGGGGTTTCGCGTTCGGCTGACCATCTAACCGGAACATCTGCTCCTGCACCCCAGAGCCCAAAGATCAAGAAAACTGAGATGGGCACAGTAGGCCTTGGCCCTCTATGGGCTGTCGCGCCGCTGAGTTTAGTTTTTATGGACACAGGTGTCAGACAAAGTATTCAAAATTGTATTTATTCAACCATTTCACAAAGGTGGTATAACATCAAAATCTGACAATATCCGGAGCACTCCGCTCTTTATAGTTTGGATTATTTAGGGAAAAGTCTTGCAAGTTTTCCCCATTATGTCTTAAACACGTATTACAAGTAACGTGTTTACGTGTGAAAAATTACTAATTTTAGGTAGTGCAGACCAGACTCTTAAAGCATACAGGAATGCAGTTTGCGGAAAATTTGTCATCATCTCGGAAAATTGTTTGCTTTTACTAAAAAAGAAAAGTCCTCTTCAAAAAAAGTTCGTTTTTTTCGAATTCCTGAGAAAAAAAAGATTAATTTTTACGTGATCAGCAAACTCGATTTAAAAGTTACACTCACCTGATCTTAAAATCACGCATCGCGATTCGTGTTTCGTATTTTCACGATTTAAAATAAATATCCCTATTCTTTTTCTAGCGATTTAAAAGCCACTTTTATGTTTCGTGTTCAAGTGACTCAACATTTATACATTAGAATTCATATTCACACGATTTTAAAATGAAATATCAAGATTTGTATTCACGTGATTTTAAAATCAACTATCGAGATTCGTATTAACGCGATTTTGAAATCAAATATCGAGATTTGTATTAACGTGATTTTAAAATCAAACATCAATGTTCATATTCACTTGATTTTAAAAATAAATGTAGAGATTCGTATTCACGTGACTTAGAAGTCACGCATTGAGATTCATATTCACACAATTCAAATAAATTGATATCATCTCGCATCAATATTTAGAGTACAGGGTTATTCATAATTCCCTCCGGGGTTACGAAGCGTTATAGTAAAAAAACAAAGACGAATATGGCAAAAAAGAACACATGAAATTATTCCGAAAGTATTCAAGTTTTAATTTTAAGCAGTTACCGGTAGATGGCAGTAACATGCACCACTGAAGCCAGTTGTAGTAAAGAAAAATGGCGTTTACAGGCGGAGGGAATTATGAATAACCCTGTATAAATTGTAGAGTTTACAATATAACGCGTTCTTTCAATCTTAACTTTCAACGAAATAATTAAATTCGGAAGACTCCGTAACCATGCTATGATGCTACCTATAAGAAAACAAACGGTGCTATTTTACACAAATAAGGGATAAAACTCAAAACATGGCTGACCTTACACTTTTTTTTTTTTTTTTTTTGTAGTTTGTGTTTTTAATGCCTCTCCCGTTGCCCATAGATGGGCGGGCCGGGGACATACAATAAATTACACTTTATTTATGCTGTGATATTTATTTTGTTAAATTTGTTTTAGTCTCGCGTCATGTTAGAATTTATAAATTACAGATAAACTATAATACTTTTTCTGCTTCTCCTTCACTTAAGTAAATACAAAGGCAAAAAATATGCTTTCTCTACCCGGGCTGCGTCGTTGTTTGGGGAAGAAGAAAAATGCTTTTCTTTTTGTTATAAACAATGAATTTTTGTAAATAATGATGTAATGGAAACCCTATCTATAAACATTGAACTTCTATAAACAATGATATTTTATTTTTGCTTCTTCTCTCCTATTAAGAAAATACAAGGTAATTTGATCAAGGTAAGCTATTTTAAAGCATGTTTGTTTACTAAAGAAATATTCGTTTTCTACCGGAGCCGCTTATCGGCAGCTTAAAGTTTATCGTTGTTTTTAAAAATGAATGCTTTTCTTGTTTCTATGAGCAATGAATTTCTATGAACAATAATGCACTGAAAACCCCACTCATAAATAATGAAAAAGTATGCATACTCTTTAGAATCCGTGCTGTACCTCGTAGTTGGAAATCTTTTGCTAGGTATATAATAAATTTTTTATTATCTTTTATTTTGTTTTTAAAGATTTTTAAATTTATTACGTGAAATAAAATTTGAAAATAGGAACATTTAAGTAAAGCGAATCATAGGGTTTTATTTACTATTTTATGAATATTGGAAAAAGATTTTATGCATATATTATTACGAAATAAATCAATGTTCTTCACTGAATTTCAAATATAGGGATTATACTTAATATTCATGAGCATTTTACTACCCTTTCAGCATCTGTAAAAACAAAGTATTTTATTATCTTAAATAAAAAATTATCATCTGCCTTCTTTTTTGTTTACATTACTACGTACGTTACGATTATTTGAAATATTAAATTAAATTATATGCACTTCTATAAAAGACATTATTGCTTTTGGGGCAGTTACTGTTCATCCTGTACTTCGATCAGTTGGACCTTTTCAAAAATGGCTTCTACTCATAAATTAATACTTTGCATCAGCTTCATAATTCTTGTGTCGCTTTCACAAAGTATGTAATTTTAAAATTTCTATAATGCCTTAACGCAGAGGGACACTGGTGTCCCTTTGCGTCATATTTTAAAATTTTGTCATATTTTAAAATTTTTTAATTAAAAAAAAACAGTCTAATAGTATCTAAAGAAATCTGTTAGATTATCGGAATTACATTTATATTAAAATATAAAATCCAAAAAAAAGTAGTTTTAAATTTTTTTTTGATTCATGTTAAAAAATTTATCAATAATTGATTTTGTAAATTTAAAAAATTTAAATGATGAATAAATGTTCGCAATAGCTGCAAATAAGTGATTTTTTTTTAAAAATTTAAGAAGCATTGTTTGGAATCGGGGCTGGTTGGGAAGATTTTACCTTTTAAGTAGAAAAAGATGTTTAATTCTGTATTTCATATGCATAAATTATTAGAATGCTAAATATATTATTTTTCATTCATTTTGATTTAAATATGCTAAAAGTAATGAAAAATATGTTTAAAAAAATTCTGCGTTACTGTGCTAAAAATGGTAATGTTTATATTTGAAAATGTTTTTTCAATTTTAGTGAATTTAAAAAAAAAATACCTAGGAATTTGTAGTACCATCAGAGCATCCTTTTAAAAACAATTTCTGGTCGATTAAAAACTATCTAATTAAAAAAAAATCATTTTTTAGATGACTAAATTAATAAGCTACACTTCTACTTATCGGAGCTGTGGTATATTGCAGTCAAAATTTGCTCAACTCCGATTCAACAGCTCCTTTAAGAATAAATGTTGATCATTAATTTAGCCTTTCGGAGTCAGGAAACATAAAGTTACATGAACGACGATTAGTTAAAAGTAAATCTTTAAACGCTAGAACTATTGAAAAAATTCCATAAATTCCATTTCAAAATAGATATATTTAACCCTATGACGCAGAATTTTCATTAAACATATTTTTCATTATTTTGTATTAATTTATGTCAAAATAAGTAAAAAATATTATATTTAGTATTTTAATCATTTATGGTTATGAAAAACAGCATAAAACATCAATGTTTTTTCCTACGTTAAAAGTAAAATCTTCCAAACACGACTCACTTCCAAACAACAGTTTTTCAAATTTGCATTTATTTGAAGTTATTTAGATCTAAGAGAAGCATTATTCATTATTGAAATTTCTTTAATTCATAAAATCAAGTATTGATAAATTTTTGAAAATGAATGAAAAATTTCTTCCAACAACTTTTTTTGGATTTTATATTTTTATACTAATGTAATTCCGATAATCAAACAGATTATTTTTTTGTAACTATTAGGTTGTTTTTAATAATTAAAAAATACCAAAATATGCTTTTACTTGTAATTAGAACTTCAGAAAAAAATATGCAAGCGGAACATTGGTGTCCCAACTACGTCAAAGGGCTTACTCAATTAAAAGAATTATCAATTAATTAAAAAGTTATCAAACAAATTTTGTGTATAATATTTTTAATAGTTTTCAAATAGTATTCGTAAAAAATTTTCTTATCACAAGGTAGTAACAAATGTGCGAGTGTGCTTTCGAGATACTGATATTGAACTCTTCTTGCCAATGGTTTCTCGCAACTTCAATGTTTAGAGAAAATATATTTTTAATATTTATATTTTAATTATTATGTCGTAATACAATATGTACAATCAGGGGACAAAAAAAAAAATGAATCACCTTCATAACTTTTAAGCGGTTGGTCAACTTTTCATTTTGTAAAGTATTGCATTATCTCAAAGAAATCTGTTAAAATAGATCTGTATAACAGTATAGACAGTATAACAGTATTGATAGTAACCGAAGCAGATTATGCTTATTTTGATCAAAAAACGCACTTTTTTTGAAAAACATACTTTTTTTTCATCATATTCGGATTTCTTACTCCAAAATAGAGAGGGGAGGAGGAGGAGTAAGCAAAGATTTAGAAAGCCGGTGTTTGTTGTTTAAACGCTCTAACGGTTTAAAATTTTGTTGCTTTAACACGTTCACGCCGGGGTGACCCACCGGTGGGTCACGCTAGATTGTCTCATCTTGGCAGCGCACTGGAGTAAAAACTGGTAACAATAAATTTAATTTTTTAGTTTTTTTCCGGGAATAATAAAAATCCATAACTACCAATTGTTTTTAACGGATGCAATTTTTATATTGAATTGCTTCTTCGCCGTGATGAATTTCCTTACAGTGAATTGTTATTGTTGAGAATCGATTAACTCCTCCCGAATATTATCTAATATTGAAATAGTTCTTCAACCAGTATTTTCTCTTTTCCCGGCGTGAACGTGTTAATCTGTCGCATTTCTCTTTATATTTTTTGAAAATATCTCTTCATACCTTTTAGTTTTTTTCTCTTAACCAGATTCGTAAAAGTTAAACAGTTCTTTCGATGAAAGATGAAAATCCCTTGACCAAAAGACAAATATGTAATACAATGAGGAATTTAGATGAAATAAATAATTTTCATAATTAATTTGCTAACTATGAAAGAAAAATTTGTATTCTAAATTATAATTTTTTTTTACATATTCTGAATTTTCAGATTTTTTTAAACTCAAATCTAATTTTTCATGTTATTTGATTGATTAAAAGGGCCTAAAGATAATTTGAAAAACTAATAATTGAATGGTTATGAAATTGTACTGCATTTTGTGATTATATCGCTTAATTGCAGTACTTTATAACCGTCGTTGAGCAGACAACCCAATTTTGGATTTACGACTACTTATGTTCAACTCCGTAGCGTTGTAATTTTGAACCTAATCCAGAAGACAAGGGAACTCCTGGATCAAGTAGTGGGAAAAATTTGTCTTCTTGGAGGACTTTTAGATCGAACTGACCCACATTTGTGTTACATGGAGAGGAAAACCACGGAAGGTTTCCACGGTTAATCTGACTGCAAAGGAACTCAAACCCATGATTCGTCTACAACTGAGGATATTTTACGAGGTTATTTTATCTACAAATCTCGATCTGTTATGGTAATATGATTTCCATTTTTGGGTAAAAGAAAAGCCAAGTGTTACTGAAATAATTTCTAACAGCCATTTTTTACAAATTATTTTGAGAAAAAAAATGGTAAAATTGAAAAATGCTGTCTTTTTGCTTCCTTGCCCCCCTTGTCAACAGAGCGTTCGGCGGAACAGCATGACCGCTCGTAAATATTGTTATTCATAGTATTATTTGGTTGAAATTTATTATCATGATTTTATTTGGAACTCTTAAATAAAACATTTCTAACACTTAAATTATAAATTTAACGAATATTTTTTTTATTTTCAGGTGAAGCACAAAATAAAAAAGAATCGAGTAAGTGGAATTTTTCTTCAAAATTGTGCCAACAGTTTTGTCATGTAAAATCTTTCAAAACATCTGCTGCTAAAAGAAAGATTGTTTACATAGACTTAAGACAGAATTATCTATATATATGTTACGGTGAAACACCGAAATCTGGAGAATGTCGACATTCACCGGTGAATGTCAACAATCACATAGTCGCTTTGGTGAATGTCCGAAATATTTGTTATATCCAATTTTATATTAATTTATTCGTTAATATTATTATATTTATTTGATATATTTATATTTATTCTATATTTTAATACTTACTGACGATAGATTAGAAGAAACATCAGTGTTTGGAGTATCGGGCAAA